CTTGCCCAAATTTGTGTGCATTTTTTTTTATATTCCTCAATATTTTTTTGGAAATAAAATCCCTAATTTTTTGAGCCAACTGACAAAATTTGAATCAATTTTCAGTTTTAACTCAAAAAACTTGGCTATTTGATGTTTTTTTTTGTGTAAAAAAGAGTTTGTTGACCATACCTTTTCATCTGGTTCTTATGTATAATAATGATATATGATAAAAGTGCAGAAAATCTGTGGTTAGATTAAAAGATGTTGTCACGTCATGTTTCCCACAATCCAATGCACTTTTCTGGTACGAGTTTTGATTTGGGCGCGACATACACTTATTATCACTGATGACTCTTTCAATACATGTACCTTCCAATCACCAAAGAAATTACGTAGTTAAAGCTTGGTAACGTCTCAGTTTGTACTTGTGGTTGGTGCAACAGTCAAAGTCATCATCATTAATGATACAAGACCCATAGCTTGTATATTTGTGGCACAATAACCATTAACTGTTAATATAGCCAACCACCTTAAAGCGGAAGGGTCGTCACCTGCGCACGAGTCCCAAGCAACGATAACAACGCATGCTAAAAATACAAAGGCTCATGGGTAGACACTTGTGTGTTAACGACACGCTATGGCTGTTTACCGCATGCGCAGGTGACGCTTCCCCCGCTTTAACATCAAGTACATTAAATGTGCTACATAATAGTGTATTATATAACCCTACTATTACCCATAGTAACAGAAATGTATTTAACTTACCATGACAGCAATGTGCCATTTTAATGGTTTTAATACAGACACAAACACGCCAAGAAAAACAGTATACCATTTGTTTATTCACATCTATTACAGAAAAATATACACAATTCATATAAATGTACATACAAATTTAAAAGTAATGTATTTATGAACAATTTAAATGACAATTACCATTTCACATTAATTCTACATTGATTTCATTTTTTTAACACTAACATTGATCACGTATAACTGATTTGTATTAGTGCGGATTAATTTATTTTTTGATGAAAATTTCTTTTCAAATGATTTACTTTTCCAGTTAAATTCATCCACAATAATTAATCTAAATTAAACTAATTACTGGAAAGTTTGTGTATAGAGGTAAAATAAAAGCTGCTTTTAATTCTACTTGAGCTTTCCTATTAAATACACATCCATGTGATGCATGCTGACAATTACTAACCATGGTCAGTATTATTGATTTTTACTTCATTTAGTAATTTAAGCAGTCTAATTCGCACACACAATTTTTAGTTCTTAAACTGTTACACACATGATTGGCAGCAAAACTTACAATAATATTTGCGGAGTTAAGCAATTTACCAATATTGGTTATTACTAGTACAGATTCAACAGACAAAAAAGAACTCAATTGCTTGTTGATATAAGTATTGGTTCTTAAAATATGAGGCTTATGAATTAGGCTAGTCGATATACAAACAGCATTGCTTTTGACTCGCAGTTTTAGTAATTTATTCGTGATTGTTTGCAAATTGCAAAACATATTTTCATCAAAAAACAGAAACAAAACTCAAATTTTAAAAGATTTACAAACTGAAAGTAGATAGATAATTGCAATGTACATGTATGGCAACATAATGTGAAAGTCTTAAGTAACCATTTTTGTGCTCTGCAGTGTAATTATCAGAAATTAAGCCCTGAAATAAAATAAATTCAAATCAGCCTCCATGTACAAAACAAACATTTCAAATAGTACACATCAACAGAAATAAATTTTTTCTTAATTTTTACTTATCACATTTTCTTAAATACTGTGGAATACTTTATTTTTGCTGGAATTAATTTTCGCTGACAAGGCTTTTTGGGCGTTTTGTATGAAATTTAGTTTCACTGATTTTTAATGAGTTTAATGTGAAATATAGGAAAAAAAAGTATATCCGCTGGATTTTATTTTCACGGAATCATCTCATCAGTGAAAATAAATTCCAAGCGAAAATAAAGTATTCTACAGTACGATTCTATGGTCAAAATAAGCATACCGAATGGTATTTTTGCTTTAAGTGAGCTTCTATTGGAGATATTACTTCTAACAAAACTAATAGTGTTGGTCATTTGCATCCTTCCATTAGCACTAATTAAAGACTAATATATTCGATATGGTGCATATTATTACTATTTCATTGTTTATGGTGATTCCATTAATTGGTGGGAATTAGTGTCTATATATATTATTGTTTTTATAGTGTAATAATTGTCAAAGAACAAAGAACTCGATTCCTTGCAGCTCTATACATCTATGCCCCAAAGTTGGAAGATTTTAGCATGGATGAATTATTTCTTATTATTGTTTCAAGTAATGATTCTTTCATTCTTAGCATTTTTGCAAAATTTATTTTTTATATTCTTGGTATGTTTTTAGTAGTGTAAGTTTTGTTGTCCTGAATGTTTTATTTGTTTTGTTGTTGTTATTATTGGACATTACTCAAGATTTCATTGGTACGTTCCAAATAAAATTCTACCACTACTATAAATCAAGTAAGAATGCAACATTAATCACTCATTAACAAAAATGATAGCATTGCATACTGCAAATTTTTTATCATTGAATAAATCTATAAACATACACTGTCTGTAAAAATTCTTTCAAAATTGCAATTCCTCTTACTTGCAACAATCAAATGTAAATATTATGTACATTTGTAGATCATTAAAACAAATTTGCTTTATAAATTGTACTAAAATAGCTTCACAAAAAATTGTAATCATTAAAAATATAATTCACAATACATTGCATCGAGGACTCTATTTCTTTTATCAGTTTATTTTTGCATTTTTTAATCCATGTAAATGTACCAGTAATCTGAGCAAAACTGTGGGATTGAAATGCCTATCTAGTACCTAGAAAGCTGGCACATTAATTTCTCTACGAGTTTCTGTAATAATAAACATGCAGTGTACAAGTATTGTACATTTTTGACAAACGCATTCAGTATATGCTCCACCTCGTTACCAAGGATGTATAATACAAGGGTGGGCAACTAGTGTGAATGTCCCATAGATGATCTCATTTGAAGTCACATGAAATGCTCCATTACAAGTGCACATAAATCAATAATTGCTTGTATGCTAAATTATTGAATTATTTCTCACTTTGACCATGAATACACTTCTGTCATTTACGTATTAAAGCGGGGGAGTCGTCACCTATGCGTACGTCAGATAGCCATAGCGTGTCATTGTTTACAAACAAGCGTCTACCCATGAGCCTTTATGTTTTTAGCGCGTGTTGTTATTGTCGCTTGGGACTCAATTCCCACACGTGCGCAGGTGACGACCCTCCCGCTTTAAATACTACTAATAGATCAACTATCAGTATGGTAATGCAATGAGAGTCTCTGAAAGTTATCGTTCACTGTTTTCCAGTACTGCAAAATTTTCGCTTGAAATTAATTTTCGATGAGAAACGATTCAGTGAAAATAAAATCCAGTGAATATACCTTTTTTCCTATATTTTACATTCAACTCGTCAAAAATCAGTGAAAATAAAATAAGGCAAATACACCCAAAAAATCTTTCCAGCGAAGATTAATTCTAGCTAAAATAAGTATTTTACAGTATTTTATATTAATTCACAGAATTAGCATATGTTTTGAATACACCAATAACCTTGCTCATTGCAGTTTAAAGCGAGGGGAGTCGTCACCTACGCATGCGTCAGGTGACCATAGCGTGTCATTGTTTACAAACATCTACCCATGAGCCTTTGTGTTCTTAGCATGTGTTATTATCGTCGATTAGGACTCAATTCTCGCGCGTGCGCAGGTGACGACCCTCTTGCTTTAAACAACTAAATCCTGAATCCTAAAAACTAGTCAAAAATAATTTAATTTGATATGTGCATGGAATGGAATCTTCATCACATATCTCTGCATGTGGATATCAAAGTTATATGCCCTTAGATTATACATCCTTGGTGGTACTTATGTCATATATGTAATATGATGCTGGTAGAATTAGACATGACCTTGTCAATTGAATTAATGACTTGTATAGATATTATTATTGAACAAATAAGTGAAGGTCAATAATTAGTTATTTAGTATATTTTGAACATAGACACATCTCATATTTACGTAAGCACATGTGCTACAAATGTTGCAATACAGTATTAGCACATAACATGTTTTAACATTTGTTAATTATTTCATCAGCGTAATAA